TATATATATATATATATATGTATATATGGGTCTGTCCGAATAGGGGGCGCCCTACCAGGAGTGTTGGGATCGGGGTATGTTTCGCGGGTATGTTTCAGGGTATGTTTCGGGGTGTGTTTCGGGGTATGTTTGGGGGTGTGTTTCGCGCAGACTATTAGTAGTAGCAATAGAAGTAGTAGCAGCAGCAGTAGTAGTAGTAGCAGAAGCAGTAGCAGTAGTAGTAGTAGTCGTCGTAGTAGTAGAAGTTGGTAGTAGTGATAGCAGTAGTAGTAGTAGTAGCAGTAGTAGTAGTAGTAGTAGTAGTAGTAGTCGTCGTAGTAGTAGAAGTTGGTAGTAGTGATAGCAGTAGTAGTAGTAGTAGCAGTAGTAGTAGTAGTAGTAGTAGTAGTGGTAGTGGAAGTGGCAGGAGTAGTAGCAGTAGCAGTAGCAGTAGCAGTAGCAGTAGCAGTAGCAGTAGCAGTAGCAGTAGCAGTAGCAGTAGCAGTAGCAGTAGCAGTAGCAGTAGCAGTACAGTAGCAGTAGCAGTAGCAGTAGCAGTAGCAGTAGCAGTAGCAGTAGCAGTCGCAGTCGCAGTAGCAGTAGCAGTAGCAGTAGCAGTAGCAGTAGCAGTAGCAGTAGCAGTAGCAGTAGCAGCAGCAGTAGCAGTAGCAGTAGGAGGAGTAGTAGTAGTAGAAGAAGTAGTAGTGACAATAGCTGCAGTAGTGGTACAGGCATCGTTGTGGGCTGCAGGTCTGGAAGGTCCCGACTTGTCAGGCGGTTAGTATCGCTTCGAAGCGGAAAAGGCCAACGGGCCACTTGGAGAAAATCCAAGTATGTTTCGGGTATGTTTCAGGTATGTTACGGGTATGTTACGGGAAACCTTTCCTGACCTGGGTTGAGCTACTCTAGACCTTCGCCCGCTGCTAACTTCATCCAAACGATTTGAATAACGCGGGGGTATGTTTCAGGGGTATGTTTCGGGGTATGTTTCAGGGTATGTTTGGGGGTATGTTTCGGGGTGTGTTTCGCGCAAGGACAACACTGCTCCAAGACTACAAATTCAACCCCCCCAAAAAAGACAGACCCATATGGTGTTCTCAATGATCGGTCCGCTCCATGCAACTAATGTCGTTGGACATTGTTGGGAGCAGGGAATGACCCAAGTTCTGCGCCATCGCGCATGGCTTTTGTCTACGCTTACGAGCCCTTTAACTTGTTCGACCCGGTGGCATGGCCCACCAAGCAACGCAAGGAGTTCAACCGCACCGATGCAAAAGTGCACAGGTTTGTGGCTGAGTTATGAGTATGAGTAATATGGAAGCCTTGGTGTAAATCCGAACAATAGACCTTAAAACCTAGACCTAGTTTAAACCCCACTCTGTATATAATCGATTCATTCAAGGAGCTCTCGTGGGCTCAAGCTGTCCGAGTTAATTTTCAAGCCGGAGTAACCTAAATCATCTCCGACCAGGGCTGAAAGCCTTAATACCCCAAACCCCTAAGCCCAACACCATCCTGTGTGTGAGCCCGGCCTTGGTTCCTGCGGTTGGTAGGGCTGGATTGGAAGGAGCCGGGGATGTGGGTTCATGTTTACTGGGCCAGTGTAGGGATTAAGGCCTTAGCAAGGTTCCAGGGTCCGAGGTGTTGGGGTTCATATGGTCCTGGGATTATAAGTATTGTGTGCAAGTCTTTTTGTGGGTATCTTAAACTTGAAGCCCCACCAGCAGCACTATATAGTTATGGGACCTTGTACTATGGCTATCAAGTCTGCTTGGACAAATGCTCCTAGCGATCATCTTGCATTTTCGTCATATGAAAAGGCTCCATGCTCAATTACCAGCAGCTCGGAATCTCCAACATGTGAGGCTTCGATGGTATTCCCTGTGTCCTATCCAATCTGATCTAGACCCGAATATGTATCCCCAAACCCGGAAGCAAAGTTCTAGAGAGCCACCCATGCGCAGGTCCAGCTTTGCCAAATCACGTGTCTGCTGGCGTCCAGCGAGATCTGGATCGGAAGATCCTCGGGCCGGGTTTGGGATTACGCTTTGGCTTAATAGGATGGTACGTGACTTGGATCAAGAACTGGGTTCTGTTTCATCCAAGGATTGTGCAGTCTGTTTGTACTGGCGATGCCACCATTGCATTGGGATGCGAGCTGGGCCACTTCGTCGGTTATGAGTTGGATACTAGCTACCTTGTGTCGAGGCATCCAGATAAGCCCCTATGGTCGACTGGCCTTTATATACTGATCGTTCGATGGTTGTGATGTTTGGGTATACTCCTAATCCCTAACCCCTATACCTGAAGCTGAAACCCTAGAACCGAAAGCTCCTCGAGCCTTGTATTGACCCAAAAGCAGGAACATTGGCTCCAATTTAGATCGAGTGCCCACAAAAATGAACAAGTTCCTCAAACTGAACCTTACCAGCAACATCATGCTAAATTGTTGCAGTTATAAGAACCAGTAGTTTACCCGACAGAATGTTGCCTGGTTTCAATTAGTCTTCGGGTGGTTCTGAAGGTTTCTTGCTTGGTCACTGGGTGGGATTTCTGGACCAATGTTTATGTGTGCAAAGCAGCTTTCTACTGCAGTTTCGATGAACTCGCTACAAAGCTACACCCAATACTTCTAAATCTCGTCCCAGCCTAGGCGACATCTACAACTCGAATGTGTTGAACTCTTCGAGCTCTCGGGCGCTCCGGGAGGCAGAGCTGCATGCGAGGGTGAAGAAGCTGGGATGTAACTTTGATGCTCCGGTGACCTGGATACAAGTCCCTGTGGTGTCGTCTTGGGTCGAAGACGACGACGACGATGAGAAACAACTGATTCGTGAGTTCCCGGTGATGCTGCCAAGCTCGCTTGCTGCTTGGTGTTGAAAAGAAATCATTCGGACGAAAAGTTTTGATTACTAGATTGTATGATAGTGGTACCATATATAATTGTCAGCAAAGCAGTGCAACAAGGCCAAATGTATGATCGATTAAGGCTACCTCGACTGTTTGCTACCGTCGGATGAGACGAAAGTACGCAATTATTGGAAGTCGTTTCTTGAGGACCTAGGGGATGGTCATCCACCGGCCGGCATGGATGAAGCTCGTTTGTCGCGCACTATCCCGGATGGAGATGAAGGTTCCAATAATGTTGGCCAAAATGGTTTCATGCTGGGAACATGGACGCTAACCTATCTTTGGCATTAACTCTTCGAAAGTCAAGAAGTACTGTCTTTTAAGACTACACTTAAACCCTATCTTCGGAACTTAGGATGGCAGATCTCTCGCCCTACCGTGGTGACAGCAAAGCATCGAGGCATCCCATGTTTTGCATCCCTGTCGATTCGTATGCTTTTGATGGTGACAATATCAATGTTACTTTGCAAACTGTGCTGGCTGCTGCGGTTGCGGATCTCAACAAATTGGCCACACAAGGCATCCCTGCGGAAAACGGAGAACCAGGGCTGCTCTAGCATCGAACCGTTTGTTTCTTTTGGGTTTGTTAGTTCGTGTGCAAGCTAGAAATGTTGTTTTCTACTTTGTGTCACAAAGGATATCTACTTCTCTGTGACGGCGATGAAGGGTGACATCAAGTACATGTACCAAAGCTTCAACCTGACACGCCATCCCGGCAAGGAGCAGGCATCATGACTCCCTTTAACTAATTAGGGTTTGGTCATGGGTCTGCCTCTATATAATCTATATAGAGTAGTCGGTGTTTGGGGTCAAGAAATTATGAAAAGGTATACAAAGTACAGCTTGAAAGGGAGTCTCCCCGCTTTCTAGTCACAGTCACAGTCATTTTCGTGATTGCGATATACATCCTCGCTCAGGTATGCTGGAGATGCGCAGCTTCGCGGGGTGTCTCTGACTTTTCGTGTGTTTCCACGGACATCTCGCCAGAGGCACCTTGGCGATCTCAGATGATTGGAGAGCCCTGGGATGAGACCGTGCCTTGCGGACTTGTGGGGTTTTGACCCTCAGCGGCGCATGTTGGGGATCGATCTACTTCATGTTCTCAACCTTGGCGTGCTTCGCGATCTATGTGGAAGTGCTTTGAAAGTGCTGCTTAAATCCCGCGGCTATTTTACAGGAAGTAATTTGGCGACCAGATTCAAGACTTTCAACCGGGACCTCAAGGCTTGGGCAAAAAGAACAAAGACGAAGCTACCAATGAAATACATCAAGAAGAGTACAATTACGTGGAAAACGGATGTATGTCCTGAGCTCAAGTCAAGGGCGCAGATTGCGCAGCCGTGTTGCGGCACCTAGTGCAGCTTACGCAGGCGAGGCCACCTGAGGCTTATCCTGCCATGACAGCATGTTTGTGGGCCATATCCAACTTTCTTGGTATTCTCACGACCGCCGAGATGTTTCTCACAGATGAGGAGCGGGAGTCAGCGTTCCAATTGGGCAGCTTGTTATTGAAAAGCTACATGCACTTAGCAAACACAGCGATCGAATCCGGCGACTTGCTTTGGAAAGCACGCCCAAAGCTACACTACCTGCAACACGTTGCAGAAGATCTGTTGTACAGAAAGTGAAACCCTGCGAAAGACGCCACCTATATGGACGAGGACTTGATGAAACAGACCTTTCGGATGAGGAGAAGGATGGCCCATCGAACTAGCCCCTTGAATGTTTTGCGACGGTACAATGTCGTTTTGCGTGCAAGCCTGGACAAGACGCGAAGCAAGACCCGCTAAAACAGGCCGAGGCTCTTCAGTGTTCCTGCTGCTTCAGCAATCGTTGCAGCTGCTATGGATGTGGTGTTGTTTCTTAAGATTCCATTAGTTCGGGCTTTGGTCCGGGGCCGGGGTCCAATGTACCTACTGAAGACTCCCAGCCTCCAGGTGTTCCCAGCGGGCCTCACTTTTCATCCGACGCACTCGGCTGCGTTTCCTGAAACTAAGGGGACCTTGGGAGGAAGAGCCACAGCATTCGGTAGCATCCTCTGTCCTTCGTTAACACTTCTAACTGGACATGAGATTTCTTGAAATCGTCTCCGGAAGGCATGACAGAATTTCTCACACCCCGGGAATAACATGTCCAGACGCCGGTATCTTCTTTGAAGACACCTGAACCACTGCTTCATCTTCCACCAGTATGAACCAACCGTCCCTAACAACCTTTCGAAACAGATTCATCGGGGCCCCTTTCTTCGTCAGTACATCCACTATCATTTGCTTCGTAGCCATCCACTTCAGCTGCACATTGAAACGTCCGATGTCTTCCTTGAGCAGCAACATCTCGATCGCCATGCGCTTATCCTTGATTGCCACAGTAGCACTTTGAGCATGATCATACACAGGTTTACAGTCAATAACAGCAGTGATGGGAATACGCGTACTCCACTCGAAGTCGTTTTGCAGCTCATACTCCGCACATGTAGCTTCGCACCACATTGACCGTATCCAGCGAGCTTCAGCCAGCCCTCGAGACAAGGAAAGCAGCTCTGCACCCAAAGTCGAATGCGTTTGCCGGTCCTGTTTGTAGGATTTCCAGCGCATCACTGAGAATTCGCCCCATTCACCGGCAGGTAACCGATGATCACAGGCTGCCACCATGTAGCCTGCCTGACTACAACAGTCCTTGCCATTGGCCCATGCTGCATCCGTAAGTACACAAAACTGAACCTGATCTACAGGGATCGATTTGATCCAGATATGAGCCTCACGACCGTCATGTGCCATGCTCACAAGCTTGTTCAGCTCAATCAGATCATTCACAACAGCACAGTTCACACGTTGCTGCAGCAGGGAACTCCATGCCGCAAGATCTGGTCTGCTTCCCGTGACAAGCCACTGCAACCCTCCAAGCACTCCTCTCATCTGTCTCCTTTCATCTTCAGTAACAGGCGACTCTCTCTCTCTCTCTCTCTCTCTCTCTCTCTCTCTCTCTCTCTCTCTCTCTCTCTCTCTCTCGCTCTCTCTCTCTCTCTCTCTCTCTCTCTCTCTCTCTCTCTCTCTCTCTCTCTCTCTCTCTCTCTCTCTCTCTCTCTCTCTCTCTCTTCTTCGCTCATGTTTGATGCTAATTCCCTTCATTTCCTGAGCATATTCCTTTTGCGTAACGAGGATTCCACCATCGGCCTCCTGTTTCAAGTATTTGCCCAGAAACTGACCTTCACCTTCCTTCCAGTGTTTGAAGGGAAACATTTCACGAAGTGGTGCCAACACCTTCTCTTCGAAAGCCTTGTTGCCTCCCACGCACAGATCATCAACATGTAACGCAACGATTCCCGCCAGCTTGTTCTCATCGTGAAACAAGAACACACACGGGTCAAAGCGAGACACCTTGAGTCCTAAGGAAACCAGTCTCTTGCTGAAGCAAACCCACCAAGCCTTGGGAGCATCTGCGAGACCGTAGACAGTTTTCACTGCTTCCACCACACAACCGGCCTCCAAGCCATCAACTCCTCCTGGCGGCATCTCGATGTAGATCTTTCCTCCACTTGGTTCCAACTTGTCTCCACGGAGAAAGGCACCTTCAACATCAGCGATCTTCAAACGCCACTTGCAGGAAGCCATCAATTGCAACGCCAAAGCTAGACCTTCAGCTGACAACGTAGGCGAGCTCGTGTCCAACGCTAACAAGTCCGGATCTAGGTAGCCCCGAATGCACCAACGCGCCTTCAAGTCGCACGTCTCAGGTGATGCACCAGGATCCGATTCAGTCACAACAAATCTAGACTTTAAGAACCGGCTCCTAGGGATTTTGGCTCTCAAGCGTTCGGCGTCCTTCCCGGTGTGCACAACGATTGCTCCACTCGACACATGCTTTTTCCACTCTTTCACCTTGGCAGCCCTCAACCCATGCTTCCGTTCGTCAGGCAGCTCCTTCTCATTCACCTCTTTACGACCCTTTTTGGCGGTCGCCTCAAAACATTCTGTTTGCTGGCCCTTTTCCTTCCATGACCAACCATGCTTGAGGGTAAACTCGGTCTTGCCTGTCCAAAGCCCTTCGGACTTGGGTTGCACATGCGGATTTTTCCATGCGTACTCATTGGTTTTCCTGCTACCAAGCCGAAAGTACTTAACGCTCACGCAACAATCTTCCAAGCTCTCAACCGACACTGGCAACTCATGCTGACTCGGCACATAGTCATGGGAACGCTCAATCACATGCATGCGAATCAACTTCCGCCGGCCATGATCAACGACCCAGTGGTCCGCTTCAACTTGATGCACCTCAAGGTCATCCTCACTTTCCACAGTCACCGGAACAGGAACTTGATGTGCCTGCACGCCCTGACTACCAGAAGAAGGTTCACTTGCACGCACAACACCAGTGTCAAGCAACTCGGGGTTAGCACGCATTGCCCTCACAAGACTTGTCGGAACAGGCCATGTACTCGTGCGCGCCCTCTTATTTGGAGACTCATCGCCGCTGTTCCCTTGTACTACAGCATTTTGCGGTGGCTCTGGTTCCAACTCCATCGCAGCACCAACTTGATTCTCAGCACTCGCTCTCACGCCGTTCGCTCCTGCCTCTGCATCATCTTCTCCACTAGGCGGAAGCCCTTGATCAGGAGAATCTTGATCAGGAGTTTCTTCAACATCAGGAGGCGTTGACAACATGCTCAGGTCAATGTAATTTCCGGCACCACGCGCACTCACTTCATCACGCACACGCACCATGTCAACTGGCAACAGACGGACCATCGACTCTTGCTCCGGGCTAAGTCCAAGTTTCCGAAGCTGCTCCGGTGAGCAACGGTAGACCTTAGTCCCACGCGCAATCCACACCTTTGATCCACCACTTTTACCAATCACGACACCAGGTCCATGCCAATGATGCTTTTGATCGAAGCGATTCTTTCTCCAGAAGAAGGCTAAATCGCCTTCCGAAAATGGACCCCTCTCAGGCCTAGTCCTGTGCTCCATCGCTCGACGCAAACGCATCTCACCGTCGGCCTCAAGGAAAGCACGCCTGGCAGAGCTTCGCATCTCCATTCGACGTTCAAACAAGGATTCACCTTGCACAAGAGCGGAATTGATAGCAGGATCGGGGTCACTGGACAACATGCCCGGCAAGCGAACATCTTTTCCAAAGACATGCTGGTTGGGAGCATAGCCATCCTTTCTTGTCATAGAGTTCACTGCATTCGTTACGCAGTGAACAAGCTCCTGCACCTCAGCCTTAGTCCTCGGCCGTGTTTCCAACTGAGCCTTGGCAAATGCTGCCTTCCAGATGTCACCTCTTTTCTCAACCAAGCCGTTCTGCCAAGGAGAATATGCAGCAGAAGCATCTAAGAAGGTACCATCAAGCGAACATCCATGCTCAAACTCACCTTCGAACTCCTTGCCTCCATCGCAAAACAGACGCACAGGAGGTCCAGCCCATCGCTTCCATCCTTTGCGGTAGCAGTTTCTCACTTTCTTGGCTTGCATGCCTTTCCATAAGGGGATAACCATTTGGAAACCAGTGCCCTCATCAACAATGTTGAGGAAATGCAACTTACTGTCTCTCACATCCATCTCGAAAGTGTCAACACACAACTGCTGATTAAACTCGACAGCTCGGCGAACCTTAGAGACGTTGTGGCTTTTGGGTTTGCTCAGTTCTTGACATGTTTCGCAAGTGAGCCCTTTAGCCAACTTGAGAACCTTTTCGCTAGCATGCGCAGCTTTAAGCAGCATCGTCATCCTAGCCACCGAAGGATGGCCCAGATTCTCATGACACCGTCGCAGCATCACCATGATTTTACGTTCGTTCTCATCATCAGCACCACGTATCGTCTCAATCGAGTACACACAGTGCGACACAAACACCTCTTCTCTCGCTCTCTCACTCTCCAACAACCCAACGCACACATCTTTCTGAAAGCACCTCGGATCACTCAAGTCGTTTGAGTTCAACCACGTCTTTCTGCTCCTTTCCGCAATGCTCTTGCAATTCGTGAACATGCGCCACTCGCTCTCTTCTCCCTTTCTCTCAACCACATGCGTTCCAGCCTCATCTCGAATCTTGTGCCATGCATGAACCATTTCCGAAATGGACTCATTCACAGCTTCAACGCAAAACAGCCTACCTTCACACACTTGCTCAGCACAGCACATGGTCACAAACCGCGTGAAAGCAGCTTTCTCCCTACCCGTGAAAGTGCGACACATCTGACTGCCTCCTACAGTTCTTGTCATGTGGGCAGGCGTTCTCACAACTAACAGCCTCGGCCTATGCTTCCTAATGCATTCCAGAGCACTTTGCTGTTTTGCATGGCTGCGCACGTCTTGTGGAGAAAGCTCTTCAAACACATGAAGACTTCGAAAGCCTACTGCCGTGAAAACATCCTTCCCATCTTCAGCTTCCAGAAACAGAACATCGATGCCACACTCGGTGTGAGAATCACACCCTGTAGCGTCATCTGCCACCGGCCGTTGACTGCAGATGGTGACTCCACGCCTGCACAGTTTCCTTTCGGCTTTTGTCATAACGTTCACACCCTCGGTTTCCTCGCTCATAGGTCGAGCATCTCGTTCAGCGCCTCCAGCTCGTTCGACAAGGCTTCGATTCGCTGTTGGATCTGCATGCGACGCAACTGATTCGCATCCATGCTCGCCTCGGGCTCTGCACTCACGGTCGCCGGCCAAGCACTCGCTGCTGAAGAGGACGGCCTTGCCTGGCTCTTCGCCTTGGCACGCAGCTGAAGCAACGGTGTTGTCGCTGGCACCAATGGTGCCTGATCGCTGCTCCCATATCCGCTCGTTGCCTCCCGCACTGCCCTTTGTGTCGACGGTGCAGCACTCCTGAGACGGCGGCTTTTCACTTGGTCGCGCAACTCTATGTAGAGGCGGAAGAGCCCCATTGTCGGATGGCATTCCGACTTGCCATTCCTTGACTCCTTGTCCTTGATGAACTTCCTCACCCAGGCGATGTACTTCTTGTCGTTGATGTAAGCTGTGCTGAACTTCATTGCCACCTTCATTTTCTCGTACTTGCCAATGTTCAGCAACAGATCTCCGCTGAGCCCGCTGACGAGCCCTTCTGGCTCGTCGTCGCTGTGATCGGACGCTGCATCCAGAATGGTGGTTGCAATCGTCGCAGACTCTGCTCCCTGCAGCTGTGGCGCCAAGTCCGCCACCAACCTCTCCACCAGGGGAGTCCTCACAACGAACTCCGAGATCATCGGCACATCGCTCTCGTTGCCGGTGTAGCTCATTGCCTTCACTGACTATCACAGAAGCACCTAGGACACTCGAGGCTTGAACACTCTCCGCGGCATTCACCTCATGCGTCTTTGCTTGCTTCTGCGACACATCCTTGTGCATGCTTGCGTGGCCCTTCTTGAAGCCCTCAAACAGTGGTAACGCGTAGTGGCCCCGATCAGTCTCTTTCAAAGGTATTTCAACCCCATACTTACCAACCACTAACCGATCGTTCTCTAAATCAATCTTAGCCCTAAGACCCCGCATAAGTTCTTTGGAAAGAAGCAGTGGCGTCCGAGCGCCGGAACCAGGTAGCACTGCTGCCCTAATGGCTAAGTGCTTGCCTCCCAAGCTTATCGGAATCAAGGCACTCTTCGTGGTACGAAGCACCCCAGCATTACCGAAACGAAACTCATGCTCTTCGTCAACTTCACGAACTCTAAGCCCTGATTCAGATAACACACCTGACATCCTACCCAACACAGACTCTCCAATCAGAGTCCTACGACAGGCAGTGTCTGGAACCCCGTGACTCGCAAGATCGGCCATGTATGCTTCACTCGATCTGGCGTCTGAGTCATGCGCGATGGAAAAAAACTTCATGAGCCCTTGCTCAAAGTCCCCTCTCACTTCGTCATTCTCGTTGATGCTTTCGCACTTTGGTGCAACTATCACGTCCACCTGATCGCCCTGCTCTGCTAGGAACACCTCCAGCTGGTCTATGCTCTCCTCATCTATGAAGAACTCCTGCTCGAGGTCTCGCGCACTGCCACCTGACAGATCGGCCATCATCGCTTCCTTGGCATTGCCACTCGATGCGCTTTTACGCTTCGGGCACTCCTTTTTCCAATGCCCTCGCTCTCCGCATCCATGGCACTTTGTCTTCATCTTCAACTGCTCGATGCGGCCCTTTACTGTCCCTGACAGCGTCCACTCCGGTCGCTGGCCATGGGGCTTGTATCCTCTGCCCAGCTTGCGCTGCTGAACCTGTTTGCGAACCTCCTTGTAAGTTTCAAAGACATCAAGTGCATCCTCATCATCGTACTCCGGGTTGCTCTGCACTTGATCTGCCACTGCCTGGTACACTTCATCCACGTCGTCATACTCGGTGTCGCCGGAGTTCTCCGGCACATTCTCCACCTCGAAGACTTCCTTCACCTTGGATGACGCACCCTTCGCAACACCTTGGGGAAAGATGTCGTTCACAGCTTTGCTCACTTGTGGGTACTTCAACGACCCCTTGGTGTGTGTGAGAACCATCGCCTCAGCTGTGGCATCCATTCCCAGTTTGCGTAGCAGAAACCATCCTCGGACTTCTTCTGGAAGCTCCACGGTGTGTTCTTGAAGCCGTCGGTAACTGGTCTCCAGCCTCACCATCAGGTTCCTGTAGGTCTCGCCGCCTTTGATGCTGACGCCATAGAAGTACTCCGTCAAGTGCTTGTGAAGTGCATCCTTGTCCAGCTCCTTGTACTTATCGTCCAAGGCCTTCAGGACAAGTTCGTGGCCACCCTCCTTGATCAGCTTTTCCACCGGTATCGCTTCACAAACCTCTTCTGCTTCACCAGAAAGCTGTTCCATGAGTTTGGCACCCCACTTTTCCTTAGAGTACGTGTTCGGCAACGCCATTAGCATCAGCTCCGCCTTCCGCCGCCACTTCCTGTAAGTAGCAGGCTGCGTACCATCAAAGCGCTCAAGCTTCGGCCCATCATCTCGGGACGCCGCGGCCATGTACCTCGAACTTCGCGAAGACCGTGCGCTCGCTAGCCTCCTTCACTTAGAAGTGGCCAACCAGCGCTCCGCTACCACCTGAAGACTCCCCAGGTGTTCCCAGCGGGCCTCACTTTTCATCCGACGCACTCGGCTGCGTTTCCTGAAACTAAGGGGACCTTGGGAGGAAGAGCCACAGCATTCGGTAGCATCCTGTGTCCTTCGTCAACACTTCTAACTGGACATGAGATTTCTTGAAATCGTCTCCGGAAGGCATGACAGAATTTCTCACCTACTTTTTTTTTTGAGCGCCTTTTTCCATCCGCCTAAAAGGTATCCGGAATCTGCACTGCAGAAGGCTATGGACCCTTACCCTCAGCTGTTGACGAAGCCCTTGTCTCTCCATTGACCTTCACATCGAGCTCGGACGGAGCCGTTTGCAAACCCACACCCTCCACTGGCTGTGGAACAACACCATCTCCTTCATGATTCTGTTCGTCTGTTGTCAAGTCCCACTCCACCATCTGCGAAAAGGCCTCCCTGCAAGCCTCGACTCCTTCATCTCGCATTCTCCGGAACATGCGCAACCATTCCGGTCCATAGATCTCGTGCACTGTCTAGGGTTTAGGGTTCTAAGTTAAGGAGGGTGGTGTGCGCCAGTCTTCCGACGCAGGTGTCCTACTAAAACGACAAACATACCGGAAACCCAAGCAAAACCCTTAAGCCCTATAGAGGTCGAGCTGCATGGGTACATATATATGTGGTTTGTGGATATTGTGGTTATTTTAAATAGTTCATAGGCGTGTATAGGGGTTTATGACTTTATGGCCATTCAACCAAAAGTCTACCAAACTAGATCCGAAAACCTAACATAATACTCTTCCAAATTTATCATGTAGCCGAGGTTCAAAACTACGGTCGACTGTGAAGCCTCGTATGTCAGTCTAGCAACATGAAAGACCGCCATGCAGGATGCAATTTAACCGGAAAAGCCCAGAATGATCTGAATATCGTGTTCCATATACATACACGATGGCCATTATACATGCATACATATGCAAATATTTTACTTGTACAGCCTTCTTTCCGTCTTTACGGGGTTGCGATGTCCCATCTGCCACAAGTTTGGAGCAATCCTGCCTTTTTGCCATGATTAGCTTCATATTGTATCAGTAAGACATAGACAAACATCATATTACTCAAACATCACTTAATGGCCAAAAATCACTTAAAAATGGAACCGCCCTTATCCTAACTTACCTTTCAAAGCATATTTTGTTTTTATGTCACTTTTCGTCCTCTAGGGATTCGAGGCCTTTCATTTGCTATCAAGACCGTGCTGTGCCTACACCTGTTCCGGATCCCTTCAACCGGAACTACCCGCTCTATGTGGGCCCGAGTCCCGAGTGGAGATATTCCACACCTTCGAAAACTGCCGGGGCTTGAGCAACACACGAGCCCAACCAGTACGATTCTGTCAATGTATCAGAGATGGTCATGGAAAGTCCTTAAAGGACCGGTGAACTGCTGACATGCAGCAACTGTAAAGGTGAGTTATGTGCCCTTCCAAGTCCCTTGACGGACAGGGAGGGGTGTTGATGCTCACGTTGCTGGCATGTGCAGTTGTCTGTGTCTTGAAATCGAAGGCTCTCATGTGGAGTAGCACGCGCGGATAGTACAGGCTAATGCAGACCATAGCAGCTCATGAGTGCGATTCCTTAGAAACGAGCAGCCGTCAAGACCTTCGCAGGCGCTGAAAAACACGTTCTTCCATTCGCTTGCCTGAACCATGGCCCTTGATTCTCCTGTTAATATTCCGTCTGCGGACTCAGCCCATCAACACTTGGACTGCACGAGCGCCCCTGATTCTTAAACCACACCTCTTACAAACCTTGATTTCCGACAATGGAGCCTTGGTCTCATGAGGCGCCCCCAACTTTTGAATCAGCTTTACAAACCTTGACCTGCGAGGATGGAGGCTTGGACTGCTGGGGCGCCCCTGATATTTCAATCGGAACTCTTACAAACTTACAAACCTGAAACCCCGAGGATGGGGCCTTGGACTGATGGAGCGCCCCTGACTCTTAAATCAGAACAGCTTCAAACCTTGAACTGCGAGGATGGAGCCTTGGACTGCTGGGCCCCCCTGATATTTCAATCGGAACTCTTACAAACCTTGAACTCCGAGGGTGGGGCCTTGGGTTGATGGGGCGCCCCTGATTTCAAAATCACAACCCTCACAGATCTTGAAGTTCGAGGGTGGGGCCTTGGACTGATGGGGTGCCCCCGATTTTTTAAAGCAGAACCCTTATACAGATGATGAACGCCGAGGATAAAGACTGATGGAGCGCCACTGATTCTTAAGTCAGAACATTGCCAGATCTTGAACTCCGAGGGTGGGGCCTTGGTGATGAGGCGCCCCTGATCTTTAAATCAGAACCCTTACAAATCCTTGAACTCCGAGGGTGTGGCTTTGGACTGATGGAGCACCCCTTATTTCAAAATCACATCTTTTACAGATCTTGAACTCCGAGGATGAGGCCTTGGACTGATGGAACACCGATGATTGTCCGATCAGCACTCTTGCTGTACACTAGCTAGCGTATCCTCCCGCCACCTCCCACTACACCTCCGGGAGTACGTAGCAAGCCTAGCTAAAGCTAACCGGCGGCGAAGTCCCGCGTTAGCCCGGAGAAGAACTCTAGCCTTTGGCTAGCTAATCTCCCGCGAAGTCCCGCGTTAGCCCGGAGAAGAACTCTAGCCTTTGGCTAGCTAATCTCCAGGGTGGGTTGGGTGGGCACTCGAAATTTGCCCCCCAATAGCTGGGGGCCTTTCAGCACAATGGCCACGGGGTAGCACTGCTTCACCGGCCATGTGCAGTCACTCTAGCAAACAGACAAGCTTCGTTCTGTTTAGCTTCAGAGGAAAACCCCTTCGACGTTTTCTAGCGAAACACCTTCGATGTTTCCCAAAGGGATACTAGCGCTAGCATACACTGTCGTACCTCGTCCCTCGGCACGAGTGCGTACACTAGCTAGCGTATCCTCCCGCCACCTCCCACTACACCTCCGGGAGTACGTAGCAAGCCTAGCTAAAGCTAACTGGCTTCACGCAGTAGCACGGACAACACGAACTTCTCTCTTTTTAGCGTTGTGGCGAAGTCCCGCGTTAGCCCGGAGAAGAACTCTAGCCTTTGGCTAGCTAATCTCCTTGCGCAGCCGTAGGGCTACCAGGGACCTAGCTTACGGGCCTTCTTAGCGAACCTCGGAGCCTTCGGCTCTCTGGTCCTTTTCCTCACTCCTAGCTCTTGGAAGTAGCTAGCCGAGTGTTCGAGGAGACGGCCCAGCACGCGCCACTCTAGCTTTTCCCCCTCCAGGTTAACCCTGAAGTCCGGGGAGAAACTAGCGAAGTTCTCGTTCGTGAGGTCGTCCGCTAGCTGGTTGAGATCCCTGCGGATCCACTGTAGCTGAAGCTCACAGTTCTTAGCGGAGAGTTCTTCCGCTAGCTCCATCAACACCAGCGTCGACGGGAACTTCGTCGTCATAGCTTTCTTCAGTAGCGCTTCGTTGGATTGGTTGTCGGTGTAGCCGCGGATGGCCACCTTGGAGGTCTTCTTAGCGTCCCCCTCCGGTACCCAGAGCCTCACACCGACCAGAGTAGCCAGTAGCTCTAGCGCGGCTATGACTTTGTTCGGGTCCCCCTTAGCGAAGGCCCAGGGGGCCCATTCCTTCTTCACCTCTAGCGAGAACCAGGGGCCGTGGCAGCCGTCCACTAGCTCGAGGAAGCCCCCAATCCAGGCACGTCCGTTCTCGGCCTTAGCGTCGGTGTAAAAGGAGAGCGGTGCCGCGCCGTCCAATAGCGGAGCCGGCTTCTGGAGACGGCCCCCGGCTGCCAAACGGTCTGCTAGCCAGCCACAGAGGACGCGAATCATTGTGGGTAGCGTGAGGATCCCCAGCTTCCCTTGTACGGCTGAAGACCAAGCGTGTAGCGGTCCCAAGAAGGGGCGCTCCCAGTCTAGCGCCATGGAAGCGAACCCCAGGCGCCCTAGCCCCTGCGCAAAGGGCCGGGCCTCGCACTTCCCGTCACGGACTAGCTTCCGTAGCCATTCCACTAGCCAGTCGGTTCTCTTCTGAGACAGACCTAGCCTCCAGGTGGAGTACTCCGTTTCCATGCCTAGCCACTCCACCCGAAATCCCCCCCTCGTCTTGGCCCACTTGAAGGGGTACCCAAGACTAGCGAGGAAGAGATAGCTTAGCGGGATCCCCATGCGCCCTCTAGCCCCCCGGCCCAAGGACTCGAGGTCGTCGGCATAGAGGAGCATGTCTAGCGGGAACGATGGCCCTAGCAGGTGGTACGTGAGCCGAAGCCCACACGCCGCTATGCGGGTCCACCAGTAGCTCGCGCAGGATAGCCCGAAGGTCCCCACCAGGTTAACGTAAACCGTCTGGCTGTCGGGGTCCCCCGGTGTAGCTTCCTCGGTGTCGATCTGACACCCCAGGTAGCCATGCTCTCCTTCAGCATGCTTGTAGCGTCGGTGAGCCTTAGCGATGTCGCCCACCACGGAGAAAGCCACCTCGTTAGCGTCGATGTGTTCCCGAAGTAGCTGCTTCTTCTCCCTAGCTCCCGGGGCCCGGATCTTATCCCTGCACTTGATGCGGTGGTTGACCCGGACCCCGTGAGTAGCGTCGTGGATCATCCTCTTCTTTCCACTAGCTTCGTCCTCGACGATGACAGCTAGCGCAGCGATGGCTCGGTGCTCGCCGTAGCGGGCTTTGAACTCGCCTAGCGTCATCTTGACCATGAGGCCCTCCGCCACGTCCTCTTCGAACTTCTCCCTAGCGAACTCCCGGTATTCCTCCACCGAGGAGTAGTTCGGGACCCAGGCTAGCGCCGCCTCCCAGGGGGCGTTCTCCAAAGGCCACTTTAGCTGCTCCTCGAAGACGTGGGGAGTGCGTGGTAGCGGGTCTCTCACCCCCACCGGTAGCCCCTCCTCGGCCTGGAGGAGGAAGTCTCTGTCGGGA